TTTGTCCTGGGCTCACTCAGGTAATGTCATTCAGCTGTGGGGTGAGCTGGGGATGGGCTCAGTGGAGACAGCTAGGATAACTGAATCAATAACTGAATCAATCTCAATCTCTCTCTCTCTCTCTCTCTCGTCTTTCATCCTCAGGGAGGCTAGACCACATTTTCCCACATGGTTGTGGCACAAGTACTAACACACAAGTATTTATCCAGCCTCTTCTTGCATCATGCTTGTTGCTGTTCCGTCAGCCAAAGCAAGTCACATGAGCAAGCCCGGGTTACTGTGGAAGGTCATTACACAGGGTATGAATACTGGGAAGGGTGGTTCCTTGGGAGCCACCAAGACTCCAGCAGACTGCCTTTGGATTGGAACTGCACCCTCAGCTCTCCTGGGTCCCTGCTTGGTGGCCAGAACTTCACATTTGAACCTGCCAGCCTTCATAATCGCAGGAGCCAATTCCTTATAATAAATCTGTTTGTATTCACATGCTATTGGTTCTGTTTCTCAGGACCAGTACAAGCCCAATGCAGTTTTAGGGAAAGGGTGTCAGCTTTGGTTGTCATCTTCTCAACATTAAGGCAGAGAAAAGTGGGGCCACTCACTGTCCCTTGATTTGCAAGGGGGGAGGAGGTATTTTTACAGACCATCGAATTGAGAATCTCTTACACATTGAATAAGGAGCACAGCCAGAACCAGGCTGACTGACTCCCAAGCATCTGGTCTTAACCCCTTATAGCAGGTTGAATGGTGGTTCCCAAAATGATGTACCCACTTTCTAATCCCCAGATTAGAAATATGACCTTATTTGGGGGGGAAAGGGTCTTTGTAGATGCAATTAAGTTAAGGATCTTCAGATGAGATCATACTAGATTATCTGGATGGGCCCTAAATCCCATGACAAATCATATATAATCCTATATAATAAAGAGCTAATATGCAAATGTCAAGCCCCGCCAGGGCCAGGGGACCTGAGGCCAGGATGGAGGACGTGTGGCTGTGCCCCCTGCCCGGCGGGGGGGCCGGGGG